AGTCGAGGCTCGACACCGCAGCACTCTTCCCGGGCCGGGGTTCTGCGCAGGGAGGGGTAGGTTAGTATGAAGCGGGTGGAGCCGCGGACAAGGCTTCCACGTCTGGGCTCAGTGCTTTGGGGCAGACGGGAAAATGAGTGCTAGCCAGAATTCTGGGGGATCCCGCGAAATTTCAGGGCTTAAAAGGAGGGAACTACATGCTTAATATTTCATTCCCTGTACCATCTCCCAGGATGAGGGCCAGGAGGTCCTAGATAAAGAGAAGTCGGGACAGTTCAAAAAGGAACGTGGGAAGGAGGCGCGAATACGCACCGCTGGGCGCCTCGCTGTAGTAGGTGCCGTCGTAGCAGTTCCGCCGCCGGGCACCGCTCGGGGGGCCGCTGTAGTCCATCTGCAAACGGCAAGGGCGACCAAATCAGGCCTGGGAACCGCTCGGGGCTAGAGCATCACTCCCTGTAATCGCCCCCTCCCCAACTCCCCAAGTCTCAGCCACGAGTTCCTGGCCCGGATCAGTCCCGGTTGCGGAATAAGAGTGTGCAGGAGCTGTCTGCACCTGGGACAAATAGAGGGCAGACAGTCACCTACGAGCACAAATCTGCATTTTGGAAATAGGGATAAGCGGAGAAAAGCAGATCTTCAAGCTGGCTCAGTGGTGTTCTAATATAGCGCCCTGAGTCGGGTGCATCGCATCCATCCTGTGCGCCCCCAAAGCACTAAGCCACTCCAGGAACTGCTGCCTGGGCACCGGGGTTCACCCCCGGGAAGCTTCCCCAACCAACCTCCCATAGGAGGATCAGGTCCCCGCCGTCGGAAACATTCCAGGCATACCAAGGGCTGCCCTCGCTTCTCTAGCCCAGGGTCCTGGCCTTACCATGCCGTCGGAGCAGTTGGAGCGCGGGCTGGACGCATCAGAGTCGCCGCTGTAATGCTCCCCGCCGCGGCCTGGGGGCAGCGGGCCAGGCGCGTAAAAGGCAGCTGCGGGGCCAGGGGGCGCGGCGTCCTGGTCGCGAAGCAGCGCCTGCAGGCCCTCGATATAACGGATGGCATTGCGCAGGATCTCCACTTTGGGCAGCCGCTGGTTCGGGTTGCTAGACGTGCAGCGCTTGAGCGTCTCAAAGGCCTCGTTGACTTTGCTCAGGCGGCGCCGCTCGCGCATGGTGGCTGCCTTGCGGCGGTCAGCGTTAGTGGTCTTGCGTTTGCACGCCTTGCAGGCCCACAGTAGACAGCGACCCGCCTGGTGGTGCCCGCTGGGCGCGCGCACATGCTCGTCCTCTCTAGCGCCCGGAGCCGAGTGCGCGGCCGCAGGGAAATGAGAGTGTTCCTCTGGCTTCAGGAGCGCGCCCACGTGCACGAGGCGCGGGTCCAGGTCCTCGAAGAAGCGCAGGTCCGGGGAGTCAAAACACGGGTCATCATAGAAGTCATCCGCTGTTGCAAAATTGCAGAGAGAGCTGTCGGGGCCCGTCAAGTCTACATCGCGCAGCGGCGGCGACAGCAGCTCCATATCCCCGCGGGGGGCGGCGCAGTCCTGGCTTTGCCCAACCCCAGCGGCAGGGGTTGCCAGAGACTTTCTGCGGATCCGGGGCCCCGGCAGTGCGATAGCAAAGTACTGAGGGTCTGAATGTACACCAGCTGTCCCCAACCCTGCCCTGTCTTGTCCCGCCTGACAGACGGCAAGGAGAGCTGCGGCAGCGCCTTGGGGCTTCCCCACCCCTACCTTCACGCCAGGCTCCCGGGGCTATTTATCCGGTAGTAGCCTAAGGGCCCCCGAGCGGGAGCGGGCGGCTAGGGGCGGGGGCGCCCGAGGCCAATAGGAATAGAGCGGGGAGGAGCTTGGGATCCCCACGGTGGCCGCAGGGGCAAGAGACTGGCCAGCCCCCTACCCCTGGACACTCACGCGCGCACACTCCGGCCCCTCCCCAGGCAGGGAGGAAGGCAGAGGCTGGCAGTCCAAGCTTTACTTGGCTCCCAGCACACTCTTTTCAAACCTCTCCAGCACCAGACTCCTCCTCTGTATGAGGGAAACGCAGGCTGCAAGGTCTTACTTCTGAGTTGCCTTTAGGGTCCCCTCATTCCGTTAATTCGTGGGGGACCCAGGAGCAGAACAGGAGCAGAAATCGGATCGAGAGACATTTGGAGAGAGACACATGGCAATGGGGCAGAGACACTCTTAAACCTGAGATGGTGGGACTGTGAGAGATAAACCCAAGAGGCTGAGGCATTCAGAGAGCAGAAAGCTAGAGAGCCAGAGGCAGAGAAACAAGAAATGAGAGATTAGCTCAGAGAGTCTAAGTGAGGGAATCTGAGACTGAACGTGGTGGTCATGTCACTTGGCCAGTTCCTGCCCCTGGGAGTCACTCAGAGAGAGGGTTGCAGATCCACTCTTCTTCATTGGATGCTTAGAAATCCAGCTGCCTCTATATAGAAATCATGATGGCTGCTAAAGTTAGGTGCCAATCTCTCCAAACTCAAGTCCTGCCCCAGCCTGGAGGGAGGGAAGCAAATTCCTGCCCATCTTAACCTGCACGTTTCCGCAGCTGGGTAACCAGTGCCCATTCTAGGCCAGAGATGTCTCTTCAGCTGGGAAGAAAACTCCGCCTCCTGGGAACTTGCCTCCACCTCGTGCGCCAGTGAAGTTCATAGTGCAACGGCCCTGAACTCCTAGAAGGCCTGAGAACCTCACTTTCTGGTGGAGCTTGTAAGAGTGAGGTGTGTAGACCAGTAACCTAGACCCTACAGTTTCCTGTGTGATTTTGTGGAAGCCACATCTCCTTCTAAACCTCAGTTTCCCCACTTTGTACATTTGGAGATAACAATAGTGCTCTCTTAGAGTGATTGCGGTGGTGGTGAGAATCTAAAGAGACTAAAGATGTGGAAGCCTTCAGTCCAAGGTGCAATGCTATACCAACAAGAGGGTTTGCTTCTGTCACTGGCACCAGCTGGACAGCTGGAAGGGGTGCTTCCTGCGGCCTTCCTGGCTCCTGGCAATGAGCCTTGACAGGGGCCCATGTAGTCTCAGGGCTGGGCTCCTGTGAAGGCCTCAGCTGCATTTCTTCCCAGCAGGCCCACTGGAGAGACTGGGAATAGAAGGAGGAGGCAGCAACCCCATGGGACTCTGGCACCCTCACAAGGTCTGGGGTACCCCCACCCCTATAGCAGCCTCTGCCTGAATCTGCAGTCCACACCTTCCTCTCAGCACTCAGGATAGAGATCTCCCTTGGACCAGACATGCCTACCGGGGTCTCTTCTCCTGGAGCCCACAGATATATGCAAGAGTGACCTCTGTGCCTTTCCCACTAACTTTGAGAAGCTGTCCTAACTGGCCCTTGGGGTCCGGAGGGCTTCTTCCTTCCATCCTCTTTTGGAGCCCTGCCTTCTTTACTTCTCTGACACTTGCAGTAGTGCTGAAGTTTCCCCTTTAGGAAGTTCTCACCTCCCTTCACTCCATAGTACCACTTTCATTTATTCATTCAACACACATTATGGAGTCTCCACTATGTGCCAAATACTAGTCTAGGTGTTGGGGATGAGGCAATGAACAAAACCAAGGCCCTGCTCTCATGGTGCTTACATTGTTGTGTGATAGATTATAAGCAAGCAAGGAAGCATATCATGTCAGGAGGTTATAAGTTTGTATGAAGAAAAATAAGCAAGGCAAGGGAACAAAGTGATGATTATTTCACTACTTAGTCAGGGAAGACCTCTCTGTCCTGATTCCATTTGAGCAGAAACCAGGATGATGGGAGAGCAGAAGCAGATAGCTTGAGCCAGATGAAGGGAAGAGCATGTGCAAAGGTCCCGGGGCAGGACTATTTGTCAGATTTCAGGTACAGCAAGGAGGCTGGTATGTCTAGAACAGAATGAGAAAGTGGGAGAGTGGCGAGAGATTGGGTCAGGGAGGGAGCAAAGGATTTGTATTCTGAGATGGAAAGCCACAGGAGGGCTTGAGCAAAAGAGAAGAATGTCACCATCTGATAAACATTTTAATAAGAGAGTGCTGGTTATGGAGAGCAAGGGCACAGAAGGGAGACCAATTAGGAGGCTATTAAAATAATCCATGTGAGTGATGGCTTAGATCTGGGTGGCAGCAGTGGAGATGGTGAAAAGTGGTTGGGTTCCAAATATGTTTTGAAGATGGAACCCCCAAGGTTTATTCATGATTGGATCTGGGCAAGGAAACAAAAGAGGAATTAAGGATGACTCCTGGAAGAATGGAGTTGGGGAAGAGCAGGTTTGTGGGTGGCAGATCTGGAGTCCAGGTTGGTGCAAAATTTGAAATGCATTTTCATCATCCAGGTGGAGTGGTCGAGTAGGCAGGGGGTTTATGAGGGTGCAGTTCCAAAGGGCATGTGGAAGTCGTCCATTCAACTAAGACATCTCTTGGGTCTCTCCAGCCACTGTCACCATCCTGGACTATACTGCCACATTACTGGGCTGGATGCCCACCAAAGACCCCCGGTCCCTCTCCTCACTTCTACTCTTGCCTGCGTAGAATCCATTCACTACACAGCAGTTTGAGTGATCCTTTAAACATGTAAGTGGGATTATATTCCTCTTCTGCTTCAAACTCCCCAACAGTTTCTTGTTGTATTTAGAATAAAATCTCATTTCCTCTTTCTGGCCTATCAGGCCCTCATGAGCTGGCCTCAGCCCATCTCTGAAATTTTGTCTGAAACCATCACCCCCTTCAATCATTCCATGCTAGTCTGACTTCCTTCCCTGTCTTCTGACACTCTGAGCACGGTCCTTCCTCAGTGTCTGGTAATTGCTGCTTCTCTGCTGGGCTCTTCCTAAGGCTAGCTGCTTTTCTTATCAGGTCTCAGCTCAAACCTTGCCTCTTTGGGATGTCTCTGACCATCCTCTCTATGGTAGCTGGTCACACTCCCCCGCTCATTTCCTTCTTAACACAATCACTCTTTAATTATCTTCTTTATTAGTTTGTTCATTGATTGACGTAGCCCCAAGAAGTCAGGGATGCTTTGTTCACCATGGCACTTCTGGAAAGACCATCACAGTGACCATCATGTAGTAGGAACTTGATAAATATCAAATGAAGGAGTGGGAGGCCTCATGGCCTTTGAATTTCTATGTATATAAACGAACTTCTTGAAAAATGTCATTAATGAAGATGGTTGTTATTTCTTCTAAACCGGGCAGTCGCATACATGATTAGACCTACATGCTGGGTCACTTGTGCTCTTCCCAGGCCAGACTCAGGCTGTCTGCCTGGAGCATGATCTTTTATGTTGAGCAATTGCACATGACCTGCAGCAATATCGGCACAGAATACTACAGAAAGATTTGGTGCTTATTATAACCTTGAGTCTTTCCCTTTGACTTATACTCACAATGAGGAATGTAAATTGTTGTTATATTAGTAATTTAGTTTGAAATAAATATTTCTTCCCGCTTGTTCACGCCTCAGCAGGATACCTGGCACATAGTAGGCAATGAATAAATATTTCTTGGATGAATGAATCAATCAAACCCTTTAAGTGAAATTGAGACTTCCAGGTGAGCTCTTTATTTA